TTGAAACTGATCAGTTTCAGCAGCGGCTGAATCTGGACGCCAGTTCCGACTTACATACAGATTCAACTTAAGAACAAACCTACAGTCCCTATCTTGTACGTAACCCGGGGACTGCCTGTATTCATGTTCAATGATAAAAAGACAGTTTTGTGCTGTTTTATAGCCTATGTGACCTATTGATTTCAGTAGGTTTATAAGGAGCTTAACTGATCAGTTTCAGCAGCGGCTGAATCTGGACGCCAGTTCCGACTTACATACAGATTCAACTTAAGAACAAACCTACAGTCCCTATCTTGTACGTAACCCGGGGACTGCCTGTATTCATGTTCAATGATAAAAAGACAGTTTTGTGCTGTTTTATAGCCTATGTGACCTATTGATTTCAGTAGGTTTATAAGGAGCTTAATGAATTTCACCCCAGATATTGTGCATCTCTATTCAAACTAAATAAAGTGCAGACGTTGTCTAGAATATTGCCAGGTCTGTCCACAGCTGATATTTTTATATGAACATTCATTATATTATGTTAGCAGAAGAAGACTACCGTTATCTCCTAGGTTTCTCTTAATTGTCTCTAAGCAGGAGTTGCAGAACAATGACAGTGCAACACATTAAATGAGGTAGCTACAGTGATATCCGTCGAGAGCCCTACATATCTATAAGGTTACAATAAGGGGAATCCACAAAGGCCGAAATGTAGAAACAAAATGGATTGTCATCCATGAAAGCAATAAGAAAGTTAGATAACCTCCTCTCAAAAGAAGAGTAGGGATGCATTAAAAAATCCACTCCATTTCCTGGTTAGAGTGATCTGACTCAGGAACATCAGAATTCACCTCTCCATCACAGCTCATTAATGGCCTCATCCTGCACTACTGAAATTAGTGGGACTTTTTCCATTGATTTCAAAAGGTGCAAGATGAAACTGCACATGCTGTTCTTCAATATACAGTATACTAGGCTGACCAATTCTTGGGTTCTCACAGGATCTGGATTTTTTTATTTAAGACACCAGTTTCAAATATAAGGCTATATCCCACTATCTTCACTCATGGTGAGTAGTATCTCATTTCATGAGTAGTCCCACTGAAATATATCTGTTATTTACTCATAGAGAAAGGCAATTCTCAGCATGAGTAATGATGGAAGAATTTAGTCCACAGTACCTGTTTTATATACGCTCTCTCACACACCGCCTTTCTCTCATACATCTCTTACATAAGCCCTGTGACTACCTTTTCTCCAGAGAGACCCTATTAGTACAGGACAAGAATCCCTTCATGCATTACAGAAAAAAAATCCATGCCCTGCCATATGGATTATTTTTGCAAATATCATGACAAATTATGTTCCTATTTTTAATAAGTCTAATTGTAGTATGAGAGAAATGCCTAGTTGCAATGCTTACTGCATTTGCATGATAACCCCACAGAAAGCCAAAGGAAATAACAGACATATTTTACTTTCTCAGATTGCATTTGCACCTGAATCTTTGCTTTTGAAATTTAGTATTTGTCTGAATGCTGCCAGTGATTTCTGCAGAAGTACATCAGCATAAATGTGTGTGACATTTAAAAGTAACTTGGTCTTACAGCAAGCTGATTGAGTTCAGCTCGATTAGCCAATAAAATCTCCAAGACCTTCTTGTGTATTTTCAATCTTTGTAACCCGCAAACTACTATTACAGAAGAATGCCTATTTTCCAAGTACAGCCACACAAGAAGAAAGGCAAAGGTATCAGGAGAGTGTGCCAGTGGGTTACGCTCGATCATAAACTGCTCTGACAGAGGATTCTTTAGTAACTAGTCAGCTTCCCAAAGCTTGTATCAGTGGTGCATAAGTGTATATTGTTTTAAAACTAATCAAAATAAAAGAGTGTTTAAAAGATAAATGTTTTAGGTCACGTCTCCACTTGCAGAAAGATCAACACTGCAGAAGTCAATCTTCCAGCATTCGATTTAGTGGGTCTGGTAAATCAAACACTGAGGGCACCCCCATTGACGACAGTAGTCCTACTGCTTGTGAGGATAAACTTAAAAAACAACAAATGGTCTGGTAGCACTTTACAGACTAACAAAACATAAGGGAAGTCAATGGGAGTATTTCTTCCATAAGGTACGTTGACTATAGCTACACATTACGTGTAGGTGGAATTGTGCGCCTTAAGCCAACCTTCCACCGTACTGTGGACCTGGCCTTTGAAATTAATGGAGACTTCAATGTAATTGTGAAGTTGTACATCAGTAGGAGGAGTGGGAGGGGGAATAGTCCAAGATTCAAAGGGGCATACAAAAACTTATATGGAAGAGGACAATGAATAATTATTAAATAATTCTCTAGCAGCTTCTGGGAAAGAAAGCAGGATGTAGAATCACAGGAGAGACTTTTATGATGAAAATGTTTCATAAGGCACTCAGCCACTGCAGTGATTAACCTGGTATAGAAGGGAAAAACAGAGTACTGACAATCTTCAGCAATTTTCTGTGAGGAAAGCATCTATATCTTGAGGGCTTCAGATCACCCAACAAAATGCAGCCTCATTTTTGTCATTATTAAATGTAAGTTAGTCTAAAATTTCCAGAATAGACAGATCTCAATCTAGACATAATCACAGGGATCATAATCTAGCCAACATACCCATGACATAACACGGAAACAATCACTATTTTAGGACTCCTGGTTACCTTCAGAATTAATATATATTTTAATGAATTCCTGTGGTAAGCTCTAAAGGAATCATGAAAATCAGGAATGATCTTGGATTTGACTCCCGATATTTTTCTTTAAAACACGGAAATATCATGCTTCAAATTTAATTGTTTTTAATTAAATAATTATAATTAAGACTTTTCTTCTAATGTATCTGAATAAATTGTGCAATATGTCTTACACTTACTTACCCATGCATTTGTGTAATTATCGATGGAGATGTTGATGGAAGATTAGAATTTGCCGGGTGGGTTGCTGTCCAATGAACCTTGCCAGTATATCCAGGGATATTTGGAGTGCTACAGGAAAAAGTTAAAAGGGGGAAGGGTAGGAAAGAACTAAATTAAATGAGTGCAAGCTTGAAATAATCAATCATAGACTGTTGTAAAGCTACTAGCTTGTGTTTCTATCTCCAATTTGGATAAGTGATACAGGGTGTAACTGTGTGATATTATATTGTATGGAAGCACCAAGATTGATCCCCAACTGGTGTAAATTGTTACAACTTCTTTGACATTAATGGAGTCACAATACTTTATACAAGCTGGAGATATGGCCCATGAGCTCAATTTTGATTAGAGAGCAAAAATCAGTTCTCCAGTTTTTCTCATCTTGTTTTGAAATTGTGGGTTTTACTTGATTGTATACTACTCATGACCAATAATAACATTTCATTGAGAAAAAAGAACTAGAACAAGTGGTTCACAAAACCCTAAGGCCAATATTTCAAACATGGGTTACATTTTAGGTGGGATTTAGGTTCTGATATCAAACATGGCATCTAGGTATCCCTCTTGAGGCAAATTGTTTACCTATATGCAAATTTCCTGCAACAGAGGTCCCTAAACTTTTTTTTGAATGTTCCCTATGCATTCAAGATTCATGTCATATATGTGGCTCTCTCCTTCTAAGAAACAGTATTTCTATGGATGCCTGGGGCCTGGGAACAGAGCCCATGAGCACCCTTTGTCAGCTCGCAAGGGTGACATGCTCCAGAAGGGTGATCCCAGCCTGACACAGACAAATGAGCTGCATTCCTATCCTCGTGGTCCTGGGACTCCCCTAAGTCACTCATGCCAGGTCTATATTAGGGGAGAAAGACAACCTGAGATATGCAATTCCAGCTATGAGAATAGTATAGCCGGAGTTGACATACCTTAGGTTGAATTTCTGCAGTGTCCCCACTGTGTAGTCCCCACTGTGTAATACTAGGGTTGATAGGGATGCGTACTAGACACACTATATCGAATCCTGGAAGACTGATCTCCAGAGCAAGAATCAGGGTAAGTGGAGGCAAGCCCTCACGGGCCGCAGGCCTTTCTGGCCCTGGCACAATCCCCAGTATGCATGTGAATGAGCCTGTGCTAACAGGGAGAAACTACTTCCCTAGAGGTACCATACACATCAGGTTCTGAAGAGATAAATGAGCTTCCAACCTCTCACCTCCCACCCTCCACCTTGCACAGGAAGAGATCACTCCCCCTCACATCTTGTACCCTTCTGTCTCCTTGTACTTCCCCACTGGCTGGAACTGAAGACTCAGCTAGAGAGACATATTCCTATTTTATCAACAATATTTTTGAAGAAACAAAAAAAAAAATTGCAACTAATCAGGACCTCAGTCTTCTGATAACTTCCTTGTGCCCACCTTGTCCCCTAAGAAAGGGGCCTCATAATTTGAAAACTACACCCTACAACAATTCTGCAGTTATCCAGATGTCAAGTATGATTTCTGGTATATATTATTCTGAGTGGTTTTCCTAAAAAATATATATTTGTTCCTGTTCTATCGGGTACAGAGCATTGAACCATCAATACATTTTTACCAAATACAAGCTGTTTAAGACAGTTAGAAAATCCAAGGTAACATGAATTTGTACTGGTGTCTTAATTAACTACCCATATGAAGAAAATAAACAAAGATGTGCAATGATACAATATGATCCAGGGAATCCATCCTGGATTATGGCCAAATCTATCAAATAATTTAAGCATGTGTTGAACTTGAAGTATGTCACTTGCTTAAAGATAAGCACTTGCTTAAGTGCTTTGCTAGATGGGCAAGAGTACTCAATAACTAGCATGATTGAGCCTTTGTATGTTACAAGATAATTCATACAAAATGCTATACAATGACCATCAATGATAAAGAGAAAAGTAAAGTTTTCATGTGTGATGCAAAGTGATTGTGGAAAGATTTCGAGGGCAGCACAACTGAAAGATCAACTCTTAAATGGCAAGAGTTGTTGGGAAAGGAAGAAAAGGGAAGAGAGAAGCAGACTGAAAGAGAGCTGGAGGAGTAAAAAGCATGTAAGGACCGAGAGGGAGTCCATGCATAGTTAAAAAATGACCATTTTGATATGATATAGAATAGGAGGTAATCAGTTATTGGCATTAGCAGTTAACTATTTTGTCTTCTTCCAGTTCAACATAGGTAACCATTGAACTATATAATTACCCAGACTGCCCAGAAACAAGCAGACACGTCTTTCATGACAAGCTGTTTCAGCCTGCGACTCAGCTAAGTACAAGGGATTGTAAAGTTTGCAAATGTCACCCTTTTGTGGATTCGTATATTTTGTGGGTAATAACAATGCCCATTTAAGAACTGCTTCCAAAGTACTTTCAGACAGCTATGTGCTCCCTAGAAAAATAAATCTTGGGGTGAATGATGATACACAGGTGTTAATTTTCCATAGAGTGACCGGAAATCCCTTTAAGCTAAATTCAGTGCAGGATGCAAGAATCAATCCATGGGAAAGGTGGTTTATTATATAATTCTTTGACTGTGTACTTAGGCAATTTATTACTCTAATTTCTAACTGGGTATAATGTTAAAATTCTATATCTATAGAGTATGAGCTATAAAGCAGAAGGGGAGAGATAGCTCAGTGGTTTGAGCATTGGCCTACTAAACCCAAGGTTGTGAATTCAATCCTTGAGAGGGCCACTTGAGGATCTGGACCAAATCTATCAGGGATAGTACTTTGTCCTGCCAGGAGGGAGGTAGGGACTGGACTCACTGACTGCTGGTAGTCCCTTCCAGCTCTATGAGATAGGTATATCTCCTGATAAAACATGATGGATGTGTTGGAAAATTCATTTGTCACCAAAGAGAGTTGATCCAGCTAAGTTGTGCTCAACATAAAAGGGGAAAAATAACTTTTATATGTCACCCACACAGATCCAATGGCTGAAGGAAAGCTGATCTGGTCAACAGTACTACACAGGAATAGTTTTAGGGTTGCTCTTTGTTGTATCTAGCTACCAAGGGCCTTCCGTGAGTTTTTTTCTAATCTCCTTTGCCATGCTCTTACATCAGCAGAAGTGGCTTGCAGCCAGAACAGCAACTGTATGTCATCTGAGGATTCTCTTTAATTATGAGGAATCCCCTCTATAGCTGTTTAAAGCACCATTTCTGTGACTTTGTGCCACCATAGCAGCACAACTGAGAATCAGGGCTAATATTGGGATACATTTTCTAAAATAGTCACAGTGGTGTGTGTGCAAAACTCTGTTTTTTTTAATGGACAAATGGACAATGACTTGGCTGTGTGCAGACCATCCAATTGCACATACACATACCTATTTGCATTTTAAAGTATCTATTGTGTGCATGCAAATCCATGGTTTTATTAGTAGAAGGGTACATTTGTGCACAGACATACATTTATCAATTTCTGATCATTTGTTCCAGAAGGACTATTTTTAATCTGACAGTGACTAGAATTTTACTACCCCAAATTTGTGATACTTACAACAGAACCTCATAATTGCAAACACCCCGGGAAACAGAGATTTTCAGAACTCTGGAATGTTCGTAACTTTGATCAAAACATCGTGATTGTTCAGTCAAAAGCGTACAACTGAACATTAACTTAATGCAGCTTTGAAACTTTACTATGGAAAAGAAAAATGCTGCTTTTAACCACAGAAACAATATCCTTACATTGTCTTTTTTTTATAGTTTACTTTTACTTTTAGTAGTTTACCTTTAAATACAGTACTATATTGTATATGCTTGTTTTGGGGAAGGAGTGGATCTGTGATACCTGTTTGTGTACTTCTGGTTCCAAATGATATGTGTGGGTAACAGGTCAGTTCATAACTCTGGTGTTTGTAACTCTGAGGTTCTACTGTAATAACATATCATATAAAAATTGCTCATTAGAATCTCGGTTATAGAATGAAACTCGAATGACTTCCAAGGAATTGCACCAGAGAGAAAGAGAATTGGGACCACTGCATGAAATCTCATAATATCTTGCAATATATCATAAGGCTAACTGAAATTAGCTCATATAACAACTGTATAATAGCGTGGACTTCTGAGTCTCATTATGCATTGTGAAGCATCTGATTTATAAAATCTTCTGACCTTTAAAGCTTGCAAAACCACCTAACCCGGCACTGCTAGTTACACAATTTAATTTCTTTCACTAACATACTTTCCTTGGAAAGAAGATAAGAGAAAAACAACATGATTAGCCAGATGTAACATACAAACAATGAAATGAGTGCAAGAGACAGTCCCAGTTTCAGATTTGTTCTAGATTGTTGTCTGCCTTTTAGAAATGATCCACAGAGTTAACATACTTCCTAGCATGATGAAGGATGTTACACTGAAAATGGAAAAGGCTGTGCAAAGAGAAGCTAAAAGTACAAGGATACTAAGAAAGCCCATATTATGTTTACCAGATGCCCTCATAGGCACCTGAAGAAGGGGTGCAGAAATGTGCTGCGGTTAGGCGTGTGATAAGATAGAAGAAACTGAGGTTAAAAAAATACCCCTTTGAGTTTTGTTTTTGGATCACGCTGTCTAGTTCTTTTGTGTTTTCTCTGCTGAGATGTTAAACCAGATCACCTCGGCTGAAAAAAAAAACGAGTGCCAGGCTACAACTGGCAACATGCAAAACCCTCTGTGGTTAGGCTTCTCGTCATCAAGTTTTCTTTCTGTCACCATGACGTTTCTTTCATCCTGCTCATATGCTTCCTTGTTATTACACAAGCAGCCTTCAACTCACCCCTCCCCAAAAACAAACAGTCAGACAATCCCAAAACCTTCCACCATATTCAATGCACAGGCAATTGAAGCTATGCAAGACCTAAGATTTCAAAGAGAAATTGGGTGCATCCATTTGTGGGTTCCCATTTTGCGACATTTTAAAGGGGCTTGATTATCAGAAAGTGCTGAGTACCTGTTCTCTGAAAATTAAAAAGTGGTGTAAGTTGGGCTCCTGAAAACTAAAGCACTCAGAATGATTAAACACTTTTGAAAATGTACCTTTTAGTTCCCAGT